ACACACACACACACACACACACACACACACACACACACACACACAGCAAGCCTGTGATAAAATAACAGCAGCTGAATCACACCTGAGAATCTGGAAGTTTTCCCATTCTTTAGGCTGGGAGCCTCAGTGGTCGCCATCTGGAGACCCGCTGGTCCTCAGCTCACTACAAAAGTCTGGAAACACTGATGTCAGTGAAGGATGGAACAGCAACAGCATGTGGTAGTTCAGAAGGAACCGGCCCCCAAAGGGAGTGACACTCTTAGGAGGTGTGACCTTGTTGGAGGAAGTGTGTCACTGTGGGGGCGGGCTTTGAGGTCTCTTTTGCCCAGGCTTCCCTCGGTGTGACTTTTAGTCAACTTCCTGTTGCCTCTGAGTCAAGATGTAAGGATTATCAGCTCCAGCACCACATCTGCCTGCACACTGCCATGCTCCCCGTCATGATGATAATGGACTGAACCTCTGAAACTGTAAGCCAGCCCCAATGAAATGTTTTCTTTATAAGAGTTGCCATGGTCATGGTGTCTCTTCACAGCAATGAAAACCCTAACCAAGACACAGGGTAAATCAACTCCTCAGCAAGAGGAAAAGTCAAAAAGAAAAGGGTGCCATCTTTTCCCTACCATACCCTTTCAACCCGGGCTGCTACCAGAAGGTACCGGCCACCATCCGGGCAGGGCTTCCCCCAGCTGTGGTTGCTGTGCCTGGACCCCCGGTTCGAGGTTAGTGGTGGAGACAAGGGATCACAGGCTTGACATCAGTCTAACCGAAACAGTGAGTTTCAGGTTTGGCGAGAGACCCTCAAAAGTTAAGGTGGGGGTGGGGGCACATTATTATTTATTTATTATTTGTGCGTGTGGAGGTCAGAGAAGAATTTTCACAAGGCGCTTCTCTCCTCCCATCATGGCGTCCTGGGACTCAAACTCAGATCCTCAGGCTGACTTAGCTGCAAGCACCTTAACCTACTGAGCCATTTCTCCGCCCCCACAAGCGTTTTCATTTCTTTTCTTTTCTTTTTTTGGAGATAGATTCTATTATGTAGATAAGTCTGCATGCCGTTGGCTCCCTGGGATTAAAGGCATGTGCCACCATATCGGACTCACAATATTTTCAAACAGCTTCTGGACATCTGACTCTAGACCTCTCCTTACACAGCAAGCATCTTATCCACTTCACCAACGGAGCCATCTCCACGGTACCCTGCCCCCCCCCTTTCGTTTTTCTTTTTTCTTTTCTTTTCTTTTCTTTTCTTTTCTTTTCTTTTCT